CCAGACTTTGCCAAGCTCTTTCTGGTGTTCACCGATGCCTCAGACACGGGACTGGGGACGGTGCTAATGCAGGAGGATGAAAAGGGGGAGAGACACCCCATCATGTACCTGAGCAAGAAGTTGCTACCCCGGGAGCAGAACTACGCGGCCATGGAGAAGGAATGCCTGGCCATGGTGTGGGCCCTCAAGAAACTAGAGCCATATCTCTTTGGGCGTCACTTCACCGTGCACACCGACCACTCTCCCCTGACCTGGCTGCACCAGATGAAAGGAGCCAACGCCAAGCTCCTGAGTGGAGCCTGCTCCTGCAGGATTATGACATGGATGTGGTCCATGTGAGGGGAAGTGACAACCTGATAGCGGACGCGTTGTCCCGGAGAGGGGGCCCTGAACTTCCCCGGGTCACTGGTCAGAGTGACCCTGCTCAGTTCAGTCTCCAAGGGGGGAGAGATGTGACGGAGCAGGGAGCGGGGCGCATTTGACCTGGGAATGTTGCGGGGGAGTTTTACTCGGACTGTCTGCATGGGGGATGGGAGAGCAGGGGGTGACTTTACTTGAGGGACAATACCTGAGCCAGGAGGGGGTTCAGTTTGGAGCTGGCTGGGAACAGGAGGGAGCCCAGGGTTGGGGTCTGAGCTCCTTGCCCCCCAGAGGGACCTGAGCGAGGGGTCCTGGTTGTACCTACAAGCTCTGGTCTGGACTGTGTTCCTGTCGGCCAATAAACCTTCTGTGTTACTGGCTGGCTGAGAGCCCCCCGCTTCCCTAGCCCAGTCCCCACTTCCCCCAACCCCCACTTCCCCCAGCTTCCCCAATCCCAGCCCCCCACATCTCCAGCCCAGCCCCCCGATTCCAGCCCCCCCACTTCCCACAACACCCCTCACACCTTCCCCCAGGGTCTCACCGGTTTGTGGGCCCCTCGCAGCACGTGGGCGCGGGCCCCCTCGCAGGCCGAGCGCAGGGCATGGGGAGGGGGAGTGCCGAGTAGGTCTGTGATCAGGTCCAGCTGCAGGGTTTTGTGGGGGGTGGAGTTAATGGGGGGTGCGAGAGCCTCCCCCCATGCAACCCGCCCCACTAGCCCCTCCCCCAGATCCCCTCCCCCAAACCCCTCCCTACCCCCTCTAGTCCCTCACCTTCCACCCAGAGCCCCTCCCCATTCCTCTCCAGCCATCTCCAGTCCATCCCCTCCCCCAGATCCATCCCCACTCCTCCCCTTCCCCCCAGATCCCCTCCCCCACCCCCTCCAGTCCCTCCCTTCCCCCACTCCTTCCCGCCCTCCCAGATCCCCTCCCCCACCCCCGGCCCCCCACCTGCTGGATGGGGCTGGAGGCCTGGAAGAGGATGCGCCGGCCGAGCAGTTCGGCGAAGATGCAGCCGACGGCCCAGAGGTCGATGGGGGGGCCGTAGTGGGGGGTGCCCATGAGGATCTCGGGGGCCCGGTAGTACTGGGTCACCACCTCCTGCGTCATGGGCTGCCCCTCATCCGGCTCCTCCAGCCGCGCCAGCCCGAAGTCGCAGATCTGCCGCGGAGAGGGGGTGAGCCCGGACGCCTGGGTCCCCTGCCCACCCACCTGGGTCCCCTGCCTGGCCCGGACTCCTGGGTCCCCTCACCTGGACACCTGGGTCCCTTGCCAGGACCATCCCGCCTGCCTGGGTCCCCTCACCTGGACGCCTGGGTCCCCCGCCAGCCCGCCTGGGTCCCCTCACCCGGATGCCTGGGTCCCCTGCCCATCCCAATTTCTGGGGAGCATTGCAGGGCCCCCTAGTGGAACAGTCCCAGACGCCCAGGTCCCTTTCCCTGTCCTGGTGTCTGGGAGCCGTCCCGGATGCCTGGGTCCCTTTCCCTGTCCCGGCAGAGCTGGGGGCAGGGCTGGGCTAGCAGGGGGCTGCAGGTCTCACCTTGAGGACGCAGTTGCTGTTCACCAGCAGGTTCCCCGGCTTGATGTCCCGATGGAGCACGCCGGCCGAGTGCAAATATTTCAGCCCTGCAGGGAGGGGGGCAGCGTTGGGGGGGGCTGGGATTGGGACCCCCAATCTGCCCTTCTCCCTGCTCAGGGATCCCCCCAGGATCCCTCCCCCACCCCGGTGCCAAGATGAGCGGAGGAGGGGGGCAGGGGCCGAGAAGGGGCCGGTGAGTATGGGGGGGATGCAGGGTGGCCAGGGGAGGGGAGTGCACTGGGGATGGTGTATTGGGGCGGCTGAGGATGGATATTTGGGGGGCCCTGAGGACTGGGAGGTTTCTGGGGGCTGTGGGGATTGCGTGAGACAGTTGAGGGGTCTGGGGAGATTGGGAGTGTCTGGGAGGCTCTGGGGGTCTGTGGAGGGTTTTGTGGGTTTCTGGGGTCCCGGGGAGGTTTGGGAGGCTCGGGGGGCCCGGGGAGGTTTGGGGGCCCGGGGGGCCGGGGTCTCACCGCGCAGGATCTGGTAGAGGAAGACCTTGATGTGCTCGGCGCTCAGCGGCTGCGGGGACACGATCACCTTGTGCAGGTCGCTCTGCATCAGCTCCGTCAGCACGTAGCTACCGCCCGGCGCGGGGTCAAGGGCGCGGCTCGGGGGGCAGAGCCCCATGGCCCCCCCCATCTCCCATCCCCCCATAGCCCCCCCAGCTCCCATCTGCCACAGGTCCCCAGCTCCCATCCCCCCATAACCCCAGCCTTCCCCTCCATCAGCAGGTGGCTACGAGGGCCACCCCAATAAGCCCCACTCCCCCCAGACCCCTAACCACCCCCGGCACCTCCCGTTGCTGCCATTTACCCCCCAGGGCAGCTCCCCCTCCCCACGGCCCCCTGCCCCTCCCCCACATGGGGGGTGGATACATCTCCTCGAAGCAGTCGATCTGGGGGGGCTGCAGAATATCCAGCGCCGACAGCACCTGAGGGGCACAGTGGGGGGTGAGACCCCAGATACCCCCACTGGGTCCCAGAGCCAGCCCCACGGCAGCCCCCCCGTACTCCCTACTGCAACCCCCAGCCCCATGGCATCCTCCATACAGCAACCCCCACCGCTCTGTCACACCCCCCACTGACCCATAGCCCCCAGCCCCACTGCAACCCCCCAGCATCCTCCATACAGCAACCCCCACCGCTCTGTCACACCCCCACTGACCCATAGCCCCCAGCCCACTGCAATCCCCAGCATCCTCCATACAGCAACCCCACCGCTCCGTCACACACCCCCCCACTGACCCATAGCCCCCAGCCCCACTGCAACCCCCAGCCCCATGGCATCCTTCATACAGCCCCTCCACCACTCCATCACACCGCCCCACTGACCCATAGTCCCCAGCCCCACTGCAGCCCCCCAGCATCCTCCATACAGCAACCCCCACCGCTCTGTCACACACCGCCCCACTGACCCATAGCCCCCAGCCCCACTGCAACCCCGGCTTCATAAACGCCCCCCTCATTCCAACCCATAGCCCCCACCACAACTCCACGGCTACCCCCATGCTCCACAGCCCCCCACAACTGCTACTCCTGCCCCAAACCCTCTCTACCTCCCCCCCATCCTGGTGCCAGAGCCCCCCCAAATCTCTCCCCCCCTCCCGGCCAAGTCTCACGTTCTCATGTTTGAAGTAACAGAGCATCTTGAGTTCCCGAAAAACCCGCTTGCAGGAGACGAGATTCTGGAAAACGTTCGGCATCTTCTTCAGCGCGACCCGCTTCCCGTCCCGGGGGTCCGTCACCGACCTGGGCAGACAGACAGACAGACGCAGGACCCCTCACTCCCGACCCGCAGCCCCTGCTAGCCCAGCCCTGTGGTACCCCCCAGCTCTGCAGGTGCCCCTCACTCCCGACCCGCAGCCCCCCCAGCTCTGCTGGTGCCCCTCACTCCCGACCCGCAGCCCCC